CTCAGAAACAGCCGGCCAAGTACATACAGTATCTGCTTCGGCCAGGGACTCGTTCTTCGAGGGCAAAAGTCCCGCGCGCTTGTTCCGGTGGCTCCGGGGACCGCCGCGGGGATGTAGGTTGTTTACGTCTTTTTTGCTTCTTATCCGATGTGTCGCCTGCTTCGTTAGCTTTGCCTGACTCCCAACATGATATCAATCTGAACTGCACATACACTCGAGACTGCCACACTGCTCTTACAGCCATCGCCGAGCCCAAGCCACCCCCAGCCCAGCCGGGGTGGGCGGCTGGGGTTGGGTTGGCGATGGTGGGCTGGCGTGGGCTGTGGGCTGCGGGGGGCCCAGTTTTCGACCGTAAAGCAGTGCATTTTGGAAGGGTTCAAAAGCGTACCCAAGCAAAGTGCGTTTTGGACAGTCCTGCAAGAGCACCTTCCGGCCGCAAAACAAAGTGCGTTTTGGACAGCCTCCCCCCTGCCTTCTGTCCACAAAGCAAAGTGCGTTTTGGGAGGCTTCGCACAGGCACTGTCCCCTGCCCCCGGCCGCCACCAGAATACGTTTTGCGCGGGCTTCGAGAACGCACTGCATGTCCTGTCCCTCCCGGCCGCAAGAAGAATGCGCTTTGGCCGGCCATGGCCGGCCTGAATACTAAACTCTCCTCCACCTCTTGCTGCAAGCAATATACGATGAAGAATACATCTCCCTCCTTGCCGGACGCCAAGCATATGCTTGAATATGCGTTTAGGACAGGCTCTAAAGTGCTGGTCCTCTGCGTGTTTTGCGTGTTGTGCGTGTCACTACCTCGCGGACCTCGCGCGTATTGCAACAAGCGCGTGTTTTGACAGCCTTGCACCGGAGCATCAGACTAAATGAGCTCATGCTTGTCAGTGTTGGGTGTTAGCTGTGCGGCACTCTTTCTACCTACAGCCGGCCTTCCACAGGTTGTCCTCGCAAAGAGGGGCCTCTTTCTGCTGCGCGTGTTTGAAGACGCTGTTGGGATTTGGCCCACCGAAGCCCACCTACACGTGAGACAATGCTCAGATTCCATTGAATTGGGTCCATGTGCAGCAAGCCTTGCCACCCATGGCACCCTTCGTACGTCCGAAGCCGCCGGCCGGATAGCCATTTCGAGGATGGTGCCAACCTGCTCGAGTAAAGCAGTCTAGATCGAGCCTCTGCAAGAATGGTGCACTCCTATGAATGTCGCTTGGCCTTGTTGCAAGTCGAACAGGCTGGGTTGCGTGCCACCTCATCCATCGCATACACGAATTCTTCGTCTGATCTGCGCAGTCTGTAGACACCCACGCGACCACGGCTAAGCACCACCCGATCAGCGTTGTGCCAGCACAGACCATAAACAACGAAAGAAACCAAGCCTACATATCTAAGAACCATTCCAGGAGCAACTCCCTCTCCTTTCCCGTGAATGCAAATTGCGCAATGCACTGTGGCGGGAGCACGATTTCATTTCGAATTTGCCAAATTCCCAAATATATTGGAACTGCCGCATTTCGAGACACCCAGGAGCCCCGAGAAAACGAAGAGTGCCATGCGACTTCGGCGGATTCGAGTGCTTTGGCCCGAAATAGCACGCTAATCATGTGGCGGTCATTGAATTCGGTCTTCTACGGGGAAGATTGGGGAGCAGGACTGTGGAAAGAACGTGAGTTGGCAGGGGCCGCGGAACCGCCGCGACAGCCCCTGTACATCAGATGCATGGCGTTCCGACACTCTCTGCTTAAAGCGCTGGCCCGATGGCACTGAGCTCCAGAGCTGTCAATTTGTGGCAGCCGTTCTCGCAACGCTTGCAGGGTGTCGGCGCTGAACTTCCTGAGCCCCCGGTGCCCTGGTCCACCGCTCGACACAACTCGGCTGTACTCTGTCATAGCTGCAAAATGCCGCAGAGGCGCAGGAACCCTGCGCCTTGCAGCAGCTCGTTCAGGCTGCCTCAGCTGGCTAAGCATCCCTCTGAGTGAGAGACGATACAAGCTTGCCCGATACGAGTCCGAGGGCTCCACTCAAAGAGCTTGAAAGCTCCTCTGGACTCCGGATGCCAACCTGCGCAAGAGCCGCTGATCCGATCTGACTTGTCTGATGCAGGCGCCCCAGTCCTTGGTCAGCTTCCGCTGAACAGCTACCAGATCCTGGATGCAACTCCGCAGCACCACTAATGTTCACCTTTCAGAAGTTCTGGGGTCGAATCACTAAAACAATTGTTCGGCCCGATTCTGCCAATCGCCTGGTAGGATTGTGGGAAGCCTGCAAGCCTGCAACCGGTTACCGCATGCCCAAAACAACCAAATGGGGTCGTAATTATGATAAGCCTGTTATTTGGGGCGGCCCTTTCTTCGGTATGATTGTTCTTTTATCGCTAGTCTTTGTTCAATTAGCAAGATTGGAATTCCCTTGCGCTGAGACTGCGAAGAGCTAGTAGCTGCGGAGCTTTTCATCCTGACAGCTCTCATCCCAATCGTTTCGCCCTGGTTCCGGTCCACGCGGAAGGGACGGGGGGTTACTAATCACTATAATCAAAGCCACACATTAAGTCAGTTGCAAGACTGTCTGCCGATGAAGCTTGCAAGAAATTTCGACATTCGCACCTGCTGGGTCCATCCAGGCTTTGCCCCGCGCAATGCCTTGAGCAACTCGGAGTCCTCCATTAAGCCTGCCACCGAGAACCGCATCAGCTCGGCAGCATGGAACACCATGTGAACCTTTGCATCCCCTGCTGCAAAATGACAAGTAGGAAGAATTGCGACTCGCACCGCATTGAATGGGCACGACTCAGGCGTGTAATTACGCAAGCTGGGAGGTCCTTGATCATGGCTTCATCGTCACGTCAGCACGGTCAAGTCCGCACTACACTACGCCGCACTGCCACCGAAATGCCGGTCCCGATCGCTCCGGGCCTAGCAGCACCTAACCTACCACCAACCACTAGTCACTAGGATCTTGTATCGCGCAGGAGCAGGCTGGGGCTAGAAAGTGATGTCTTCTGAGTCTTGGGCTTGTGATTCCACGATGTTCCATGCTTTTAGCATGTCGAGCAATGGAATACGTCCCAGTGATTGACACTATACTGCAGCTTACTGCTGACTTTGCGCCACAATATCTACAATCTACAAGATGGATCTGGCTAACAGAACACATCCACACTTGGTACCAACAACCCCACTGTTGCAATGATGTTTCGGGCCAGCGCAGCCAGACACAGCCGGATAGCACAGGGCGATCTTGGACAAACACCACTGCCATGCGCTACGACACTGTGCCCTGGCTGTGGTTGCTGCACACTTGCATTACAGGGGCCAGACGCCCTGCCGCGCATCGCCTGAGGAACCAGCATGAACCAGGCCGGTTGTCTCCGCGACTGCCGCGACCGCGCCTTCGTCCGCCCCAACCGCAGCGCCAGCCTGCAGAATCCTGGGCGGGCATTCGGGCTGGCAGGCAAAGTGCCGTGCTCTCAAAACCACTCTGAGGTCCCGGCTCCCCTTGTGCCCGGTCCAAGAAGTCTTGTGTGGGCGACGCCAACCTCACGTTCAGGGACCGGCTTGGCCCTACAATGACTTTCAGACTAACGAAACTCAGAAGCCTCTGCTAGCACCGAGCTAATTTCGACCGAATGCCTGCGGAACTTCGTGCGGCGGAACTGCAGAATGCTTGGGGCATCTCTCGGCAGTTTGCGTGACACCCTGTGCTTTCGCCCGCTGACGTTAGCAGCTTTGACAAGCTCATACGAGGCACATCTTGTTTTTCTCCTCTCAGCTTCTGACCCCATCTGTTGGAAGACGTGCCGAGTACCCCATGCACCAAAGTTGTCCACGCGGATTTCCCGCACAAGTTGCATGAACCTGGCTGGCATGTACATTCGTGCTGATGGACACACGATCTCAGCCTAGCAAGTAACGTGTCGGGAGTTTCAGTGTCACCTAGGGTCTTGGCGTGGTCATGGTGGAGTCGTCCAGCCCTCGCGGCATGAGGTCAGCGAACCTGTTCAGCTCTATGACAGCTACATGCGACCGCGTTTGGCCGGCATGAGTCTTTGAGTTTGGCGCTGCATGCAGGGTGGCCTTTGTGCAAATGGGCGCAGTGCCTGTTCCAGTTGCGGCTGACACCCCAGCTGGGCATCCGCCTGGGCTGCATGCTTCTGATTTGTCGGGAACATGACCCATGACTGAACTCTGGACGCACTGGGCGCTTCACCAGGATGCCCAAGGATTGGGGCTCTATCTCGTATAACCTTCACAGAAAGCAAGAAAACAGCTATATTCATTGCAAGTTTGGTGGACAACAGGGCTCTGCTGAAGACCTTTCCTGTTCAAGCCCCACACTCGAACAGCAGAAGCATGAAATTAAGAGACCCAGCCCCAGTCGATTGAGTGGTGCCTTTGCATCACCTCCTTGGAGATGGCATCCAGCAGAATACGATCCTGTGGGACAGAGATGGAGAGAACCGGGCGAGATCAGCATGGAGGCAAAATGAGGCAAACCAAATTGATCAGGCCTTCTTGTTAAAGGCCGAATGCGCCCACGCCGTGGTTGCAGGCCCTGTCGAGCACTTGGATTTTCTGCGCCATGTGTTCCCGAAGAGACTCAAACCAGGACCTCAGACCATGCCCTGGGTTGAGGGATTGCATGTAATCGCAAAGGATCTCTCGTCTGACAGCAACGGCAGCAAGTATTCACAAGATAACGTCGTGCTTTCCAATGCTGGCCGGCAGTCCACAGCACCGTCATGCAAATCCCGCCAGGCTGGGATGTGAAACGAAGCTGCAAATGCTTTGGGAAAAACAACGTTGCGGCAGTGGGTTGCAAGTTGATGCCCCGGGGCATGCAGCCATTGCTGCGACTCAGAACTTTTGGTCCCGAGTGTCCAACCTGCGATGGCTTCGTCAATCTGCCTCGCCCCTGTCTCTAAACATGCACTAGACGTGCGCAGCTCCAAATCAGGGCTTCGGAAAGACTCTTGATGGCCTCTCCACGAGGTCCTCGTAGTCGATTTCGGCAGAGGGTCCCTCTTTGTTCTTGTCCGCGAATTCAATCTGAGTGCGCTGCAGAAGCATGGGGCGTGGATTCGACTTTTCGCTACGCTTAGCAGCCCAGAGCGGTCAAGAGGCAAACTGGTCTGCTTCCTCATCATCCAATGGATCTCCGAGCTGCATCAGCACCTAAGCCAGACAATCAGTCCAGGGCTGGTCAGAACAGTAGAATAAAGCTAGTGCGCCCATCTTCAAGCTCTGGGGAGAAGAGATATATTCGAGCCACATAGCGAAATTGCGCAAGCGTAATGGTGCCTTTGCCATCCTTGTCGAAGGTCTTAAAGGCCTCAACAAGTTCTGCGAAAAGACACAGATCCGCCCTTGTTTGTCAGTCGTTTAGGGCTATCCTCATGACGCGCATGATGAGCGCGGAAGTGTTTTGCCATGTCGTTCAAGCTGCTGTTGGTGTGTTACACGATTCTCATGCATCGGATGCACAGATCGCAGCTAGAACAGAACGTCTTAGGTGCCGATTTGAAGATCACACCTCGATGAGTTGTTCCTTGCGGAGGGCATCCTCGCGTGACTCGCAGAGCTTGAGGAAGGTCTCCAACTGAAAGTGACCTGTCTCTACGGGGAACCACCCACTGTCAGCAGCTGCTCTCGCGCAGAGCGAAACGCACGGCGGCCTGTCCCGGTGTCGTTCTCCTCAATGATTCGCCGGATCTCCCCCTCTGTCGGGTTTTGGCCTGCCGTACCACCAGCGCAACTCCGGTGATCCGTCCACAACAGGTACTTTGCTCCACACACACACACACACACCCGCACACACACACACATATATATATATATGGTTTCTAGATCGCACTGAAGGTACAGATACAATGCCACGTTCCGAGTACATCCAAACACCGAAATCGAATAACGGCAACTTCCAACCACATCATCGGCATCAGGGCCAGAGCCTATAGATCTCCAGAGGCTGGCAAAGTCCGGTTTCCAGGGGATGTAGCCCTGTTGGTGCCTGAGCGCTGAACTTCAATAACTGTGTCCAAGTTCCAAAGATGCTATCACGGCACCTGAACGCAATGCAAAGAGGCTTCAACTCTCACTACTGCCTTCCAATTTCCGCCTGACCAGGAGTACAGCTCCTTCAAGGCCCGGACTTGTCCCAAACGTTGAACGCCTTGCGGCTGAAGGCTACCGGCTACCACTATCACTACCACTGACCACCAGCACGACCACGACTGCTATTGCTACGACCACTGCGACAAATTACTAATCACTACGACTACACGCCAATGACGACGACGGCTACTACTGACTACTCCACGATCACACTCTACTTGCTACTTGCTGCTACTACTACTACGACGACGACGACTACTACTACGACGACTACTGCTACGACTACTACGACTACGACTACTACGACGACACCGAATTTAGCAAAGTCGCGGAGTGCACGAAGAAGTGGTATGACAGGACGAACGT